AATAATAATGAGGGCCACAAACTCTTAGCCATGATCAGATCGCGCGTGGAAGTTCACCCTCCACAAACAACGCAAAAGTTTACAGCTGTCAAAAAAAGTCATAGTTTTATCTCTGAAAAATATATTGATCGACCCACAATTTTCACAGAACTCTAGAAAATGACCCAATATAWTTTCTTAGCATTTAAACCTAATGTTGAATATTACAAAAATAGCGTGGACTTGTAGCCTTCACGTAACGCGAAATTCCATTCCAATTTGATAGCATCATCAGATTATTAGTTGTAAAGCTAGATATCAGTTTCCTCACAGGTAGCCAAAGCTCTGTGTCACATATTCATAAGGCAATGTGTGAAGATTTTTAAAACACCGCGCAATGGAAAAATTTCAATAAAATTTACCTTTCTTCCAAGGCGTCTTTGTTTGTCCATTCATAATGTTTGTGACGAGTTTTGAGAGAAATTGAGTCATTATAAACCCCCTTCCTATTTTTTGGAATGGAGTCCGGTTTAATATTTACTTAAATTGGAGCCAAGCACTGTTGTGCTTACCCCTTCCATGATAGCTTATTCAAAATACGCGTAGGTTAATCTTATAGTGACTGATCACTCTGGTTAACTAAAGGTACACGTATTTACGTGATCTGCACTTTGCCTGTTGGGTTGACCACGTGTACTGCAAACTGCAGATCCACGAACGGTCGTATTTCCTATTAATAACAGATCTGCAAAAAAAACGTTGATTGTATATAAATCGGCGAAACCTTTTTAGTTATTATTCAAACGTGAATGTAATTTATTCAACTACCGATTGGTGAACGCAACATGTACTAACTAATTCATGGATTCTTTATTGGCCAGGTGGACTTTACAGTCAGGATTTCAATCCGTCGAAGTTCTACGTATTGTGACGAAAGTAGAGTCGCAAACAGATACCCTTCTTATTCAATATCCAGGACAGTCACGAGGTACAACGGATCATCTAACTGGGGCTTTACTAGTAAATGGGTGAGTCTCTATTGTAGTGACTTCAACATCCAAGAAGACTGGAGTGAGGTTTATGGCAATTTTAGCTTTATTACTGGGATACCTGTGATATCACAGTCATAAAATGTCTTTTTTTTCCCCCCAAGTCCATACACATTTTTGCAAAGGCACGCGAGGCACTCGAAGTTGGATGATTATTTTGGCTCTCTCAGAGGGTCAATTATGCACAAATTGGTTTTCCTCGTTTTTCTCGGAAATAAAGCCATATTTCAAAAAACGAAGTATACCACGATTTGTTTTGGCTATATGTCTACCTTATACTTGAATATAAGCGAAATCGATTTTTTGACTGGTTGCCAGCAAATTTCGATTTTGTTTGATTTTTGCTGACATGTACTCTTAATGTAATGGGCCGTAGCTTATTTTTACGAACTACACATGCTTTGGTTCAACTACTGAAAGCAGTATTCTCTGTAACCGAAGATCAATGCTAAGGAAGGAAAACAGCGCTTCAAAAACAAGCCAAGGATAAAGAATTATGCCTTCTTGATCTAAACAAACTGAGCGTATTTCATTCGACTTTCGTACTATTTTTGCAGATTCCTCAAGCTGATTGTCAAGTTATATGAATTGTTTTGGCTCCAAAGACTACTACGAATAAACTTAAAGTACAGAGAAGTTTATTCGGCCTTTTAATATTTTGTTTAATATGAAGTAATAAGAATAATTTAAATAAACGAATATATTTCGCCTATCTTCTTGACCTTAGTCATTCAACTTCTAACTCGTTAAACTTTAAGAATATGTCCATTCAGATTTAGAAATATCTGTAAACATAAAAAACTTTAAAATTAAAGCAACTGTGAGGTAAATCTTTGATTTTTACCGTCTTAAGTAAAGAATTTCGATTCACAAATAACGAGTTAGAAAATTCCCGTGTGAGACACTCTTTGCAAAGCGCGTGACCACAGGCACGACTTAATTACGTATGCTAAAAATAGGAATGGAATGGACATGACGGAACTGGAATTTGGACTGATTTTTATCCATACCTTTAATTCTTGGCATACGATTTTTATCCAAAATGATTTTCACTACTTTGATCTCTTTGAAGCTTTAATAAAAATAAAATATTTTCACTCTATTATTGTTCAGATCCATGTCAAAACAACAGCATTTCTGCACAGACCCATATTTCATCTAGAAGTAACTTCCTGTGAAAAAATTTGTTGTTCTAATGATCCTATGGTTTAAAACAAACAGTCTACACACACCTACCTCTGGCAAAAAATGCCAGGTTAAGACCCCATCATCCCTCCACTCCCCACGACCCCGYACCCGTCCTAGCGTCTTTTTTACTGGGATAACTGTGGCTTACCAGTAAGTTGTAAAACACGTCTGTTTTTTTCTGATTCCTGCTGGTTCCCGTCCGACAAAATAAACAAGTTGCGCAATAATTCATTACGTCAACATTGCGCCCTCGACACCATGACAAGCAACTGTCCAATCAGGGCAAAGGTGCTGTTCACGTGTTATCTTGATTTGGAAGCTAAACCAACTAAATACTCCATGCATGTTGAAACCAGGTCCTCCAGGTCCTCCAGGTATCCCAGCTTACCCTGGAACCAGGGTCTAGTTTCTGTCTTCTCCACGACAAAATGGGAAAGTTGCGCAATAGTACCCAGTGGTCTTCAGGAACTTACCCAAGAGATCTTTGCGGGTATCTGCTATAGGAATCCCGTCTATAGTCCAAACAATTATCATGTACCAGATGTCAATCAATGTCACTATGTTGTCAAGTGATTATGAGTGGGCGGAGCTAGCATATCACGTGGCAGAGGTTTATGTCTACGCATGCTCTATTTTGTTGACTGCTGTAATTCAAGACAGCCGAACTAGAAATATTCATTTATCAATTTCCTAAACCAGGATTGGAAGGCAAGAAAATACCAATGGTTTCGAAGCGATTGTTTCTAAGAGTTTTCAATGAACTTCATGAGCAATAGCTTGTTTTGGCTTATTCTTAATGATTCATCTACTCGAGCAGTATTTCTTTTATTTATTTATTTTTTTGAGGAGAACAGAGTTTCAAAAGTCAGAATTTATACGATAAGCGATACTGCAAATTCATTCAGCATGACAATATAGATATTCTTATAGCCTACATTTATATATTTATAACAACTGTTTTGGCTTCAAAGTCTATTCACAAAGGAACATGAGGTACATAGCAATATTTATTTTAAGATTCTATTTATAAAATAAATAATTTGCTAAGCACATTCCAGAGTTTGATCTTTGCCGTTCGAAGCGTTATGATCTCCTTTAATTTTTTTTCAATTCTATAGGAAAATTCATTGGCTGACGAGGGAATTCCAAGTTGAATTCACGAGAAAAGGCGATATCGCCT